AATTCTGCCGGCTGTAAATGATGTGAGAGAGGCACTGAAAGTTTACAAGAAGTTGTATGAAGAGTTTCAAGAATGCAATTATGCAGTGTTGCTGTGTATTAAAGATGAGGAGGAAAAGGAGGCTGACCAACAACTTTGGTTTCAGCCAATGTCAGAACGATGTTTGCAGTTCATTAATAGAGTTAATACATGGATTGAAATACAAACATGTGATCAAGAGATAACTCCCATGGACAGTGCATCCAGAGTGTCAAAAACATCTAGAGTGTCAAACAAGTCTAAAGTATCCAACACGTCAAGGGTGTCGACAGCATCGTCAGAGCGCGTCAAGGAAGAAGCTAACAGAGCAGCTCTGATGGCACGAGCAGCGTCTCTGAAAGAAAAACAGGCTCTAGAGTTAAAAGAAGCAGAAATTAAAGCTGCAAAGGAAAGACTGGAAATTGAAACAGCCATTGCAGTGTCTACTGCCAAAGTGAAAGTGTATGAGGAATGTGAAGGGGTTAAGTCTCAAGTGAGTGAAACCAGACTTACGGTAATGCCACGTCGTGACCTCCTGAAGATGAATAACGAAAATGGTCATGGCAACGTAAAACACACACCAGGGAAGCCAACAGAGATAGAGAGGTCTGCCTCTTGGAGGAATCCTGGTGATCCAGGTACTGCAGCAGGGGCCATACCTAAGACACATAGAACTCCACTGCAGGGGCCGAGCCAACGCCAAGATGGTGTCTCACTTCAGGAGACCAGACCAAGTGAGCTTTATCAAGTTATGCAGAAACAGGCAGATATCACAGAGATGCTTGTAAAGAACCAACAGCTGGCTCGGTTACCACAAAGGGATGTGCCAGTGTTCCACGGAGATCCTTTGGAGTACAGGTCGTTTATGAGGGCATTCATGCACGCTATTGACACCAGAGCTGATAGCAATTCAGACAAGCTATATTTTCTGGAGCAGTATACTCGAGGCGAGCCTCGTGATCTTGTGAGGAGTTGTCAGCATATGCCTGAACATCGGGGGTATGAAAGGGCTCTGCAGCTGCTTCAAGATAAATATGGAAATGAGTTACAGATTGCTAGCACACTAATTGAGAAGGCATCGAAGTGGCCACAAATTAAGGCTGAAGATGGAAAGGCGTTGAGCGCATTCTCTGTATTCCTGGTGAGCTGTCGTAATGCCATGGAGGATGTGGACTATATGGAAGAGATGGACAACCCTGCAACTATGAGGGTCATCATTTCAAAGTTGCCATTTAAAATAAGAGAGCGCTGGAGATCCATGCATATGATATCCAGGAGCGGCGCTGCAACAGAGCAAGATTCACAGAGCTGGTGGCCTTCGTTGAACGCCAAGCAAAGATCATGTCCGACCCACTCTTTGGCGATCTTGAAACAGCAGTGTCAGACAAGGTTATGAAAAAGCCACAGCAAGGAAATAAGTTGAAGAAAGACATTAGACATGGGAGCAGCTTTGCTATCAAGGTTAACCAAGGTTCAGAAATGGACAAAAGAAGCAGAGTGAGTAAGAACCAGAGTGACCTTTCACTCAACTGCGCCTTCACAAGACCTTGCATGTTCTGTGGGAAACTTCATACACTGCAAGAGTGTTACAAGATTAGAGAGGAGACTCATAAGGATAGAGTGGACTACTTGAAGAAAAACGGACTTTGCTTTGGATGCCTGCTAAAGGGTCACATGAGCAGAGATTGCAAAAAGAAGATGGTGTGCGAGGTTTGTTCACTCAAGCATCCAAGTTTGTTGCACTTCTCAAGTTATGAGGAAGAGAAGCCTCCCGATGAGGTCAATATGGGTAGCACTGCTAAAGGCCCAGCAGGGTTGTCTGAAGAAAAGGAGACAAGTGCCTGTACTGGGGCTGGAGGCAGCTGCGTGCTTGCCATTGTACCTGTAAGGGTGAAGTCCTGCAAGAGTGACAAGGCTGTGGAGGTTTACGCTTTCATTGACCCAGGTAGCTCTGCATCGTTCTGCACCGAAGCCTTGGCAAGGCAGTTGAAGGTGCAAGGCAGACGAACCGAGCTAACGTTGAGGACCATAAATTCCAAAAGTCGAGAGGAGAGTTATGTGCTCACAGAATTGGAAGTCAGCAGTCTGGCAGACAACAACTTTATCGCACTGTCAAAGGTCTTCACACAGAAAAGTATTCCTGTTTCCAGAGAGAACATCCCACTCCAGAAAGAGGTTGACAAGTGGCCGTACCTACGCGAGGTGAGGTTGCCTCATATTGAGGCTGAAGTGGAGCTTCTCATTGGAACTAAAGAATACACCATATTGGAGCCATGGAAGGTGATCCCAAGTGAGGACAATGGTCCATATGCCGTAAAGACAGCACTTGGATGGATTCTGAATGGACCACTCAGAGAAACAGATACTGCAGCCAATGATGTACAACCATGTGCTATTGTGAACAGAATAGCCATCGACAACGTGGAACAACTGCTTGTACGACAGTATAACCACGACTTTCCAGAGCGTCACTGTGATGATAAAGCAGGAATGTCTCAAGAAGACCACCACTTCATGGAGTCTGTGTCAAGCTCTACTCGTCTCACTGATGGACACTATTCCATAAGTCTTCCTACGAAGAAGTCGTGCGTTCAGATGCCGAACAATCGAAGTGCAGTGTTACAGCGTGCACTGAGCCTTCAGCGCAAGCTGAAAAGGAATCCTGCACTCCATGAAGAATACACTGCCTTCATGAGTGACATGTTGAGCAAGGGATATGCCGTTGAGGTTCCAACAACACAGTTAAACCGCAAGGATGGAAAACAGTGGTATATTCCCCACCATGGGGTATACCATCCACAAAAAAAGAAGCTGAGGGTGGTCTTTGACTGCGCTGCCAGCTACCAAGGAGTTTCACTGAATAGTGAACTTCTACAAGGGCCAGATTTAACAAACTCATTGATCGGAGTGCTGACACGGTTCAGACAAGAGTCTATCGCCTTTACAGCAGATATCGAAGCAATGTACCATCAGGTGTGTGTCCCGGATGACGATGCCGACCTGCAGCGCTTTCTGTGGTGGCCAGCAGGGGACCTCAATCGAGACATTGCTGAGTACAGGATGATGGTGCATATCTTCGGTGCGACTTCTTCTCCCAGTTGTGCCAACTATGCACTGCGAAGAACAGCAGAGGAGAACCGCAGCAAATCATCACCTGAAGCTGTAAGCACAGTTCTGGAAAATTTTTATGTTGACGACTGCTTGAAGTCTGTTGCCACGGAAACTCAAGGTATGGAGTTATACACAGACCTCACTGAATTGTGTTCTGGTGGAGGATTTCACCTAACGAAATGGACAAGCAACAGTCGTGCTTTGCTCTCATTCATCCCTGAGCATGAGAGAGCCAAAGATGTCAGAGACCTGAACTTGAACCATGACCTGCTGCCTATGGAACGTGCTTTAGGAGTTCTATGGTGCCCTGAGTCTGACGCATTCAAGTTCAGGATTAACATCAAAGAAAGACCTGTGACGAGACGTGGAATACTTTCCGTCACCAGCTCCATCTACGACCCACTGGGATTCCTTTCCCCAGGAACTCTCCCTGCAAAAATGATCTTGCAGCAGTTATGCAGGGAGGGTCTTGCTTGGGATGATGAGATCCCAGAACAGCTCAGTCATAAGTGGAACAAGTGGTTACAAGAGCTGTGCCAGCTGTCAGAGGTAACCGTACCCAGGTGTGTGAGACCATTGGACTTCGGTCCTGTCGCAACAGCACAGCTCCACCATTTTTCTGATGGGAGCGAAAGTGGATATGGAACAGCATCATACTTGAGGATGACCAGCAATGACGGACGGGTTCACTGTGCGTTAATGATGGGAAAATCCCGTGTGGCGCCCCTGAAGCAAACCACTATTCCACGAATAGAGTTGACTGCAGCTATGGTTGCTGCAAAGACAGACAAAATGTTAAGAACGGAGCTTCAGATGAATCTCCTTGAATCTACATTCTGGACTGACAGCACAACTGTGTTGAAGTATATTGAAAATGAAAATCTTCGCTTCAAGACATTCGTGGCCAATCGCGTTGCGGTCATTAGAGAGCTAACAAATCCCAGCAGTGGAGGTACGTTGGTACAGCAATCAATCCAGCTGATTGTGCATCCAGAGGGCTTGCACCATCTAAGCTCATGAAGAATCTAAGCTGGTTCCACGGCCCAGCTTTCCTGAAAACCCCAGAAAGACAGTGGCCAGAAAGACCTGACAAGGAAAGGATTGATAAAGATGACAGCGAAGTGAGGCATGCAACCATGGTACATCTCACAAATGCAGCTGAGAATGTTCACACGTTGAACAAGCTGATCAATCACTATTCCAGCTGGCATCGAGTGAAGAGAGCTGTGGCATGGATGATCAAACTCAAAGACTTACTGCTACGACGATGTGAAAAAAGGAAAGAGACGTACGTTAAACAGAAAGAACAAGACAACGAATCAATGCAGACAACACTTACCCTGAAAGATCTGGTGCAAGCTGAGACAGAGATCATCAAGTTCTGTCAAAGTCAACAATTCCAAGAAGAGATCACCATGTTAAAGAAAGGCAAGTGTGTGACAAAGACTAGTCACTTGAGGAAACTTGATCCCGTGATGCAGGACGGAGTTTTGAGAGTTGGTGGTCGCCTCGCAGCTGCTGGGATGCCAGAATATGTGAAGCACCCAGTCATTATCCCAAAGGGCTCACATATCACCACACTGATCTTGCAGGATATACATGAGAAGATTGGGCACTGTGGAAGACTGTATATGCTTTCACGGCTGCGACAGAAGTATTGGATTCCATCCGCTAACTCAGAAGTGAGGAAGTTTCTGTCAAGGTGCGTAATCTGCAGGAAAACTAGAGGCAAACCACTGGAACAGAAGATGGCAGATTTGCCAGAGGATAGGCTTCTACCTGATGAACCCCCCTTTTCTAATGTTGGGGTGGATTACTTTGGACCGTTTAATGTGAAGCATGGCCGCAGCACAGTAAAAAGGTATGGTGTGTTGTTTACCTGCCTTACAACAAGAGCAGTGCACATTGAAATTGCGCACACTTTGGACACTGATTCATGTCTGAACGCCATCAGACGCTTTGTGTGCAGAAGAGGTCAGGTATCTGTCATGCGTTCAGATAATGGCACCAACCTAGTTGCTGCTGAACGGGAGTTACGCGAAGCCATTCAAGAGTGGAATCAGTCAAAGATTCTAGATTGTCTCATGCAAAAGGGAATCCAGTGGGTATTTAACCCACCCGCTGGTTCTCACTTTGGAGGGATATGGGAAAGGCAGATCAGAACCGTGAGGAAGGTCCTGAGGTCTATACTGAAGGAACAGTTGGTCAATGATGAAGGTTTACTGACACTAATGTGTGAAGTGGAGTCAGTACTAAATGACAGACCGCTGACTACAGTAACAGATGATCCAACAGACCTGGAACCACTGACGCCTAACCACTTGCTACTGATGAAGAAAAAGCCGGGTTTGCCTCCTGGACTTTTCAGAAAGGAAGACTCATACTCCCGCCGCCGTTGGAAGCAAGTGCAATATCTTGCTGACTTGTTTTGGAAGAGGTGGGTGCGCGAGTATTTGCCTATGCTTCAAGAGCGTCAAAAGTGGACTCAGGTCAGAAGAAACGTAACTGTGGGGGACATTGTAATGGTGGTCGACGAGTCAGCGCCAAGAAGCTCGTGGATGTTGGGGAGAGTTCTTCGTGTCATTCCAGATGCTAAGGGTCTGGTGCGGCGTGTGATCATCAAGACAAAGACTAACACCTTAGAAAGACCCATTGACAAGCTATGCTTGATCTGTGAGAATGTCATGTAACTTGGAATGAGAAAATACAGTATATGTTCTGATCGGTTACAGGTTTTGTGAAAGATAATTTGAATGACCATGTGTGATACAGGAAGTGTTAATGTTATTTGGCTCTTTTGTAAGTGTTTGCTAATTGTCAGTCTTCACGCCCTCCAATTAGGGGGCTGGAAATGTTAGAGCCAATCTATAGAGAAATATTTTTGATACTGTTTCAGTTATTATGTTACATGTTTAATTTTGTATATATGTTGTTAGAGAATAAATGCTGCGCGTTTAATTTGTGTCGGGTAAGAAAACATTACAGCGCATGTGTGGTAGCAGGTTAGAGTGAGCCAGGACGGCAATGGAAATGTGCGCTGTAGCAGCAAATCGTTTTTTGACCGTGACATCTTTTGTTTGTATGTACGAGTCAGAAATAAATCTGAACAGCTCACATTAAGAAGTGGAAGAATTATTTTTTCGAAGCTTGGGACAGAAATTCGCCACTACACTTATGTTTTATGCAGGACTGCGTTCGTTGTTCTCTGTCTCATTACAGTGCATGTGTGGTAGCAGGTTAGTGTGAGCCAGGACGGCAATGGAAATGTGCGCTGTAGCAGCAAATCGTTTTTTGACCGTGACATCTTTTGTTTGTATGTACGAGTCAGAAATAAATCTGAACAGCTCACATTAAGAAGTGGAAGAATTATTTTTTCGAAGCTTGGGACAGAAATTCGCCACTACACTTATGTTTTATGCAGGACTGCGTTCGTTGTTCTCTGTCCTCATTCTCTTAGTCCTGATGTCTGCTTGTATTTGCTCCTCACATACATCTTGACCTTCTCTGTTCTGGTATCGTCTTGTTTCTAACCCCTTGTATTAATCTATTTAACAAGACAACACACCTCCTATGTGAAACATCTATTCTTAAACCTCTGACACTTTTTGCTAGAAAACTCAATGATAACAAAAATCTCATATTGGTGTCTTTCACCTCTGCTTCTGCAAAGCGCTCTGTGTGGTACATAACAGACTGCTCTCCCTCTAACTTGACTATCTGCGCTTCTAATCATGTAAAAAACACCTCCTGACAGATTTAACAATCCATGTGTCACAAAGGCCATACAGGCTACAAAATCTGGCCTTGAGCAGGATGCTGCAAGAGTTTGACTTCCAAACCTCTCACATGAAGATTTTAAGATGTAGTTAAATTTTTCTGTGAATTACTGTTTTCTAAACTGAACTCTGTTACACAAAAACACAGGGAATGATCAATATGTCAGGTACAACCAAAGTTCAAAATGTGGGGGAAAGCCAGTCCAGTTCAGTTAGAAAGCAGGTATATGTTACCTCATACTACTAGAGCTTTCACAAACCATCTCTTTTGTGTCTGATGAATGGTGCATGCTAGGTTACATCCAAATCTATCAAAATATGGATGTCATGGTAACCAATCCACAATAATGAACAGAAAATTGAACAAACTTGGCAAAAACTAAGGGAGAGGATACAGAGGAAAGTCCAGTTCCAGTGTGTTTGATTACACACACACTTTACCTTAGCTGTCACTGAGTTTTTGCCACATTCCAACAAAAAACGTAATGTGGAAGTGGGTTATAAAGTCCTCATCACTAACCACAATCTGTGAACAGACAGCAACTGTACCTATCTGATATGGAGAAAACTTTCCACTCAGGGAAATCTGGACATGCAGTTTATAATTGGAGATAAATTTCAGGAGCAAGACCACGCCTCCAAACACGCCCCTTCTAGTTCTTATCCATCTATATATCTCAGTAGTTCTACAAGCTGTTCGTTCTTGTTTTTAGCCTAGGGATAAGCTGGGTATAAGAAATGTGACCCCAAGTTATCTAATTTACAGAAAAATTTACAACTATTTACAAAGGTTTCATCTAGCATTCATATCCACAGACACTCACTAACAAACTGTTTGACTAAGATTTCTCCCACAGAAACACTGAGAGCAACCATCAGACCCATAGGCTGTTTGTTGGGTGGTGGGGGCCTGGCGGGAGGTGAGGTGCCTGTCATCTGGTTGTTAAGGGCTTGCTTTCCAACCATTTATCCAATGGGAACAGGAATGAATTCAACCCAGCCACTCAGCAGGCACTTGTCTCCATCAAGACACACCTATGCACACACCTGGAAGAGAGGCAAGAGAAAAACCTGCAACCACATCCTCTAGTGGGAGGAGTCACATATTATCACACACACATATGACACATGTGATCTTGGGTCATAACACTGAGACAGATGGAGGGTTCCTTTTTCGTGCCATGGTTGAAAGCAGAGCTGATGTTGCAAGTCCCAATCCAAGGAAGTCTACCTGCAGATGTAAGTGTCCGATGCTCGACTGGAAAATCTACTACAAACAGCTGCTGCCTTTGCTTCCAAAACAAAGACAAGAAGGTCGCAAGTTTCTACAGTCAGAGCTCGGTTCACACTGCAAAAGCATAAACCTTGCAAAAATAGTTATCTTTTTTCTTTAAATAACATACATATATAACATACACAGTATGCACACCTGTAATAACATGCATTTATGGTTATTATGACTTTTGTTTACCCTCATCCTACCAACATACTTAACATACCCCCACTTGGGTCCCAGGGGACCCCAAGAACAATTTACTGTAAGAAGCAATCAGGATAATAATAATTGCTAAACTTATTTCTTCTCAGAGCATTTTTATTTACAGAATCAAACTTTATAATTATTGTAGGATCGCAGGCAGATTGAGAAAATTAACACGTTAGCTAATCGTTGTATTCTGGAAAAGCTGTTGGTCCATTCTGAAGTATAGGCTGTTGGATAACCCATTAAATCCAGTATAAGTTCAGGACACATTATCCAGCCCATAAACCCCCTCCTGGCTTTCATGAACCTTCTTATACACAGAATCAGCAGCTTTACCAACTTTTACTGATTTTGGACCTAAGTAAGGCTTTCGGATGGTTTTCCCTCTTAGAGGTTATTCATCTACTATCATCTTTGCTTTTGTTGAATTTGCACCAATGTGTTTTAGTTAATAATTCCCATAAAAGCTTAATATCTATGTGTTTAGTATAAAAAAAAAAAGACACTATTTTATTTCTTCGTTTTCTTCTTATTGTAGACTTGTCTGTTATAAACTAGGCTGAGCTGGCTACTATATGGAGTTCAGTAAAGGCATTCAGAACTCTTACATAATGTTGCATATTTTTAGAGATAAAGTAAGAATTTCATTGGGCTTATGTAACGTTACAGTTGAAAGTGAAACTGAGTAGAGACACCGATTTCCAAACAACACTAGTGATAACCAGAATAATGCAAACTGGAAAGGAGAGGTAGCGATGGCTGGAGTTAAAGTATGTTCAGAACAGGCAAGTTGATTTTTCTCCTTGTCGTTACTTCTCTTCTGTGTCCCCGTTTCCATCCTGCAGCTTCCTTCTTCTAGCTTTCTCTTCTCCCACCAGGTCCTCTACATACACTCAAAAATACTTTTTTCAGTTGTTTGGAGTTTGAATTGAGCAACAGAGAGCCAGCAACATCTATGTGAAATAACAATGAGAGTTACTGCAAGCATACACAGCCAGTTTAAATCCACCTCTGAGTCGGCCAGGGCAACACAGACTTATGAGGCATCAACAGTTATATTTAGCTCCAACTGGAATTATTTTAAGTCATATTTAAATAATATTGAATGAAAAAAACAATTACTTTTCACACTTGATTAATTTTCTCCCAATTACTGGAATAAGCTGTTTTGCATTGGTAACAAAGTTACATTTTCACACAGTTTTTTTGTTTCCAAAATTCTTGAGGCTACAAAATGGAATAAAAGGCTCAGTGAGAATAATATGTTTTGCTGTGAAAGCTTCAAGGGGTTTAAAGCCATTGTTTCCTTTGTGTCTCGCTGACTCTGCCTCTCAGAACAATAAAAAAATGTTAACAAAAAACTTGTGTTGTTGCTGCCAGCTGTAGAGAAATAGCTGGAATACATGCAAACGTTCCCCGAGCTCCCCTCTGTTGTAGCTTTGCACTAATGGCAAGGTCTGCTGCCTCGTTTCTTCTTTCTCATCTTCCCTTGAATCGACTGGCTTCATATCAAAGTGATAAAGTTTGTTGTTGCTCCTACAGGGGTCTGGGAGGAGGTTTCCATTCTCTCTCTCTATTGCTGAGGCATGAGATCTGGTTTGTGTGTCCTCCAAAGGCTGTGCAATGATGTTTCCTCTGCTTCCCTACTCTTTCTCCATCCCCTTCTCATGTTTCTCCCCTCCCTCTCTCCTCCTCTTGACTTCCAGCTGATGCTGTTACGAATGCTGTGGGGAGTCTGCTGTGCATTGTTGTGCCGCTGCCTCTTCTTCGCAAATATTGTGGCCTTTGAGCTGAAAGGCAAAAAACCCTAGGGTGAGCAGATGAGGAGGAGTGAGAAAGAAGCAGAGAGGCAAGATGGGTGGTCGTTTGGAGATGATGGAACTGATGAAAAGAAAGAAACAAGATTTCTGTTTTATTTGTAGAAGTGAACGAATAAAAAAATATTGTTAATATTTAATTGTTTAACTTTTCTCTGGTGTATATCATATATCACAAAATGACCCTTGTCATGTTCAAATGTTCCAGAGAACAGAAAAGAGAGACGGATAGAAGACATCCTGAGAAATCAGAAATGAGCATGCAGAGTCAAACCACCCTGTCAGCGGTCTGTGCAATGGGCTGTTCATAGGCATCAAAGACTGTCAGATCAAGAACCATGAAAAATACATTTAAAAGGTTCATTTATGCAGCCCACTACCCTCACTTACATGGGCCTTCAAAGTAGGGCTGAAATTCCAGAAAACATCTCTGGTATAACTCTGGGACATCTCTTACATTGCAGGCTTTTGGACAGAGTCATGCAAAAAAGTAAATTAAGAAAGGAAAGTACTATAGTACACTGAACACATTGTCTATGATATCCTGAAATAATTTCTCTACGTCATATATATGTTTATCACCTGTGCGCTTGTAATTGACAAAGACTGGCAGATGTTTGTTTTTTTTGTCAACTGGAAAACCATGAAGAGTAAAGTCCAGGAAAACAAGCTTCCTCTGTCATTTGGGAATGTTTTTTTTTCAGTGGATCAGATGTGAGACCAATATCTGCTTCCTTGAGCGTGGCGTATAGGTGAGGAGAAACAGGTGTCCATGATATCAGAGAGTGGAGGTAATATAGGGAACGCAATCAC